TCAATTTAAGGGGGAAATAGCCACACAATTTTAAAAATATGAGGCGATAAAATATGAATAAAAGGCTCTGGTGCATAGTGGAAGAGCCAATAGAAAATTCATAGAAGAAATGACCTTTGATCTGGGTTGTGAAGGACACATGAATATTTTTCAGGTGGGGATGAGAGAGAGGGCATTCCAGGAAGGAGAGCAGCCAGAGCAAAGGGACCAGGGCAGAGCTCTGCACGCTCCGTGAGGCGGGGTGTACGAGCGTTTGTGTGCGCCAGGGCGGGCATTGGGAACTGAGGAGCAGGGGATGGTCGGAGGTGGTTTTCAGGAGGAGGGCAGGGAGTATAAGAAGTTTCTTTAAATCTGTTACCGAAAGTGGGGTCTTGCTGCTCGCCACTCTAAAGCCAGCACTTGAGAGGCGAGGTTGGTGGAAAGGAAAGTTTGCTGTCTTCTGGAGACCAGTAGCTGGGGGTGGGGTGGGCTGGGGTGGGAAGGCTGAACTCATGTCCAAAGGCCAAATCCCCACTGACAATCAGTGGCTAAGAGCTTTTAAAGGGGAGTTTCAGGGGTATAGAGGTGGAGGGAAGAGGCTCCATGCAGAAACAGCAGTCAGCTCTGACAGTCATCTTGAAATTGGTCCTGCGGTGGTCTGACCAGCATCATCTTGATTGTTCTAAGCACAGTTAATCTTCAGTCCTAGGGTCAGTTTGTTCCCATTTCCTTCAGGCCAGTTCTCGGAACTGTGGCAGCTTATGTCATGGCTACAGACTGATCATCATGTAGTTAATTTCTTCCACCTGGTAGGGGTTTCAATATCTATAAGACAGCTCACGGGGTAGGGCTCAGAATATTACCTATAGCCCTTGAGGAGAAATTAAAGGTCCTTGACTTTGTTAATGACTGAACTATTATTATTATGTCCTGTTTGACTGCTTTCCTTTGCTTCTGTATTTTCCCACTTCTCTGATTAAAATTATTCTTTGGCTAAAGTTTTTCTACAGACAAAAAGGCAAGTGGAGGACATGGCAAGGAAGGACCACAGGGTCCTGCTCTGTTCCAGATTGAACCTAGTTTTATGACTGACATGTAAATCTTTTGTGTAGTTTCTCAAATCATGCTATGACTACTATGACTGCTACTGTTCCTACTGGCATAGAGCTAGTGTTTGTTGCTCTCTTACTAGGTCTGAAGTTGACTGTATTTTAGGGATTGTCTTACTTGATCCTACCGTCTCGATGAGTAGTTCTCCTATAATCCTCGTTTTATAAATGTTGTTCTCCATATTCTCACATGTTACTTTCTGTTCTGGCTAATATTCCAGATGCCTAAGAAGCTCATGTGTTTCTGTGTGACTGGCTTATGCCTTCAGTCATACAGTTTTTGTTCTTGTTTTTAATTTTTTTTTTAGAAGATCAAAAGCCCTGTTTTGAGGCAAAATGAAGTTGCCTGGCATGGTGTCCCCTTACATCTGTTGCTATACCACTGGATGTTTTGACCTCACCATTTTGACCCCTCTGTTTTGACTTTGGGAACACTTGTTCCTGCTCTTTTGACTCTGAGAACATTTTGAGTCCAAGACTTGTAATTAGAATCATATCAACTCAGATGGACTTTCCATTCAGAAAGTGTTTTCCGCAGTAAATTCCATTAAGCCAATTTAATCCCTTGATCAATTTTCTCCATAGCAGTTAAACCATTTCCAAAAATGTTAACTCTTACTAAAGTTATTTTCATTTGGATCAATTATTTTCCATTTAAAATTTGAAACAAAATTTGATGTATTGATTAGGCATTATCCAAGCAAATTTTATTGATTCTGGCTTCTACTTTGTGTAATAGTCCTTATTTCTATTAAGTCTATTTTTTTTCCTGGGTCAAAATATACAAATCTAATTTTTCTAAAAAACAAAATTTGATTCTTCTGTCAATTTGTAGTCAGTAACAAGTTGTGTTTTGTGGTTTTCACTGTTATCAGTTTTACTTAGCATTGATTATTTATACCAGTAATTTAAAAATCAACCCATCACAAACTGCATTAAAATAATGATGCTTTCTATTTCTTATTCACAAGAAATTGTGAAAAATGTTCTGTGCACATGTGTATGAAAGAAAAAAAGATTAAAGAGAGAGAGAGAGGAGAGAGAGGAACAGAGTATGAGGAGGACGAAAGAGACAGAGATAGAAATAGAGATGTAGAGAGAAAGACATAGATGGAAGTGAGACCTAGCAAATGAGAGAGGAAAAGAGAGTTTGAGAGGGAGATTGGTTGAGAGAGGGGAATGCTGTTTGCTAAGCTTTCAAAACTTTGTCAGAATTTAAATGTCCATGGGGGTCAAAATGTCAGGATATGAGAGCAGTGTTTGCTATTGATCAGTGATGGAGAGTAAGGTCATCCTGAGCAGAGGAGCTGAGGTCCTCATTAGCCTTAGGGAGGAGCATGGAGGAAAGGTCTGAAGCCAGCAAGAGTATCCAGAGAGCAGCATGCAAGGCACTGCTTGACAGCAGGGCTCTCCAGATTCACTACAAAAATATAGACTACTAGGCAATGCCAACCTGATATCCCAAATCACTTGAAATAACCTGCAGCTGAGAGTCATGGACTCCTGTTGTCTTTAGCATTTTCAAGATGAGAGGCCATTGGTGTGGATTTACACTGTATCTTACAAATCCAGTAGAAAAGAGGGCTGGTGCATTCCAGAACCTCATTTTCAATGACTATCCATTTCCTATTGGATGAAGTTCAACTTCTGTTAACACAGAATACTAGATCCTTCACAATCTGGTTGGTGTCCGCCTTGCAAGCATCCATGCCAGTGGACACTTCACTTAGGCTGCTCCGAATGTTTACTGTTCACAGAGCACTAGGATGTCTTCTTGTTCTCTCCATGTTAGTTTTGCCTGGAATTCCGTTTCCTGCTCTTCTGCCTGGAAAACTCATACATATCCTTCTGAGCCCTTCTTGAAGGGGTTCTTTCTTCTGTGAATTAGGTAGAGGGTGGAAGAGACGTGGTGGTGGGGGTACTGTTTTGAATGTGAAGCACAGGGGAGTGACTGGGGCACAGTGTGTGCTGGGGGCAGACAGAGAGGGGCTTGGAGGTGATCCAGGACTAGGAGGGGAACTAAGAGAAACAGGCAGTTGGGAGGGATTTTGGACATAGTGAGGTCTGAAGGAGATTGGGGGAGATGTAGACTTAGACTTGGAGGACGTTACAGAGAATGTGAGGGGAGGGAGGATGTGAAGAACTAAGTGTGACTAGAGGTAGCTGGAAGGCAGTAGAGGTCAGGGCTGGGGAGAGTCAGTTGTGCACACCTCTGTCCTCTATAGCACCCCATGAAGACCCTAATACAGCACTGAACACATTGGGTACTGGATGCTGTGTCACTTGCCTTCCGTAATCTGTGAGCTCCTCTCTCAGCCCTGGGCCATGGTTGGGAGAAGTGTGCAATGACTGAGCCTCCATCCCCATGGGAGAAACTCTCTGTAAACAAGGAATGAGCTGGGAGGCAGTACCCCCACCCCCCGCCCAGTCTTTAGGAGGTACCTGCTCATCTTTCCGCAAGACAGTCTCTACCACATCACCAAGCTATGCTGTTAAAGCACCAGAAGACCACTAGTTCTGATTCAGATTCCCCCCAGCATTCTTCTCCATGGCACCTGTTCTCACTGGGTAGAACCCAGGTGTGAAACTGGAGGTCTTTACCTGAATTTTCTCTTGAACTTAAGGTCTCATTAGGTTCTCTGCCTGGGCTCTGTCCTGGGGTGAAGGTGAAGATCATTTGCTAAAAGTTAGGAGCTAGGTTGAAAGAGAAATGTAAAGTGAATTCACCTAATAGGGACATTTGGAGGAAAAAGTGTCTGTGATTCTCTTATGAACTGCTGCATGTGACTTGTGTGACCTTGTGTAAGCCGTTTGATCTGTCTGAGCCTGAGTTTCTACATCTTCAAAATGGGGATCAAATAGCTATCTTGTAGAGCTGTTGTAATAGGTAAATGTGTTATGGTACATTTAATGTTTATTTTTTCTATTTAGGTTCTAATACTGTTTCAATTGATTTTTCTGTCTGGTTTAAGGTTGGAATTTAACTTAATTTTTTCCTGAATGAATAGAAAATTGTACAAAGCACCTTTTATTGAACAACCCCCTCTTGCCTTCATCAATGAGAAATTCCATATTTACCATACACTGAATTCTGATCTGTCCATTTCTGGGCACTCAAATTGTGTTCTGTTAATCCATTGGCCTACTCCTGGGCTAGTTTCTTACTGTTTTAGTCTTGCGGTTTCATAATCTGTTGTGATGAGTGGTCCTCTATCATTGTTCTCCTATTACGAGATTTTCTTGGGCTGTTCTTAGGCGTATGTTTTTCCCCCCTAGATGAAGTTTCTTATCGAGTTACTAAATTTTTGATTTGGAAAGTACAGTTTTTAAAAAAATGATCTAGCTGCTTTTTAAATGTAACACCATTTTTACTTGAAAGAACAATGACAGATAAATGATGGTTATTCAGATATGGATATTTCCTGAGAATGAATGAAGTGAGTCTATAACTTTAAGGAAGGCAACTGACAGTATTGCAGACGCTCAAGTTCATCCTCCAGGAGAAAATTAGAGTTTCAAAAAACGTGTATGTGCCACCCACCATGAGCTCAACAGCTTCCCAATTCTTAAAGACATTTCTGATGAAATGGGTGATATTAACTGATGCAATTTTAAAAATGTTGCATAATGAAATGCGTCACCTTTTGGAAGTTCTGCAAAGCTCAGTGAACCAATAATTTCCAAATGACCAATGCACGATGTTGCAAAAGCATGCAAGTAAAAGACCCATCAAACTATATGAATTGCCAATGTATTTTAATGTAGCAGAATATGAAAAGTTCGTTGATAGGATTTCATAGTCTGTATTGCAAATAACGCTTAAGAAAATAAGCGCTTGTCAAGTTTGGGGATTGTTTCAAAGAAGAATATCCATAATTATCTGAAAACATTGTTACAATACTATTCTCTTTTCAGTTACACATCTGTGTGAGGCTGGACTTTCCGTATTACTTCAACCAAAACAACACATCACAGAAGACTGAATGCAAAAGCAGGTAAGAGAATCCATCTCTTTTCTATTAAGTCATATGTTAAAAAGATTTGCAAAAAATATGCAAATGTTTTGCAAGAATGCAAAACATTCTTGCTAAATGTTTTGGTTTGGAACAAACTATTCTATATATTTATTTGTTTTATTATTTTATTCTTCATAAAGATATTTTATTATATTACCATGTAATGAATTAGTTATTTTTAAGTGAACAAATAGATTAAAATTAAAAAAAAATTCTACTTTAATTTCTAATGTGGTAAAATTTGCTACTTGTAATACACACAAACAGATTTCTCTAAGACTGTAAAGGGATCCTGAGGTCAAAGTTTGAGAACTACTGGTCGAGGCTATGCTGCTGTCCACCAGGCCATGAGCTGCAGATGGCATCGCTAAAAATATGGAAACAGCCTAGGTCCCTGAAAAGATCCCTACAACTCACATTGGATTGTTATGTAAATGAGAAATAAACCTTCACTGTGTTAAGCCCCTTAGGTTTGGTAGTATAGCCTAGCCTAAGCTGCCTAACGCACACACTCAGATCTGCGCTTTAGGGAGATGATTTCGGAGGTGGTGTGAAGGATTGGTTTGGGATGGAGATGAGGATTCAGGATGAAACTGAAAACAGGGAAATGAATTGTGAAGTCATTTCAGTGGTCCAGTCCAAGGTCTGAACTGAGGCTATGGTAGAAGGCTACAGAGAGGGAAGAACAGCTATAAGATGCATCAAAGACAGAATTAGTTGTATTTGGTTAGCAGTTGTGGGGAGGTAGGAGGAGAAGGCAGAGAAGTCTTAAGACGTTGAATTTTGGTCCCAGTGGAAATAGTGAAATTATTTATGAGATCAGTAACTCAGTATGCCTAGAAGAAATTTTATGTGTTTTGAAGGGAAAGGAAATGATGATTTCCATTTTGAACACCTGAGTTTGTGTTGCCTGTGGGCCATGCAGAGATAAGAATAACAAACACTTAGGTGGTTCTTACTATGTGCTATGCATTATTTTAGGCACCAGACATACTAACTCATTTAACATACACAACAATCTTAAGGAGGTACTCATATCCTCCCTACTTTATAGTCATGGGAGACTGAGGCATGGGAGTGAAGTGATTCATCCAAGTGATGTGATCACCCAGCTAGTAAGTGACAGACTGGTGATTGACACCCAAGCACTTGGGTCTTAGACATTATTGTGTTATTTAGACATTATGTTATTCTGTCTCCTTATGTTATTCTATCATTACGTTATTCTATCTCTTGATGCTCAGTAGCTAGTTAATAATCTGAGTCGTGGGTTCAAAGAGAGTTCTGGGTTGTTCCAAACATTAGATTGTGTATTTGTAAATTCCATCAGAAAGTCACTTATGTCAGCAAGGCTAATACTTTCCACTTTCCCTCTGTCTGGCCACGAGCAGCAGGATTGAGTTAACTACGCTAAACAGTCCTAGCCTGATGGCCCATCTGAAGGTATGGCAACTCCTATTAGATTTCCCCACTTCCCAGAAGGAGAACCCAGCCTATCACAAGCTGGCTCAGAGGACCATGCCTTTAAAACAAACAGGGGAATGTCTGTGAAAGAATGGGGGTAGCCACCAGGGTTTTCCAAGAACTGCAAGGATTCATCTTTGCTGAGTTGTCTTCTAGACTCTGGATGAATGAGTGCCCTGCACTGCACACCTCCAGGGGGCATCATTCACATCTTATTCTGTTTGAATGGTGAGCTCTGGAGTTGCTTTGTGTACCGACATACCTCACTCTTACCATTAGCATCAGTTTCCCATTTTCCTGTGGACCGATTTTTGAGTAACTATGTTAATATTTGGCATCCGTTCTTGTGTTAAACTGACAATGATTAGGTCCTCAAGTCTGCTCTTACCTTATCAAACAAGATTTGGAATCTAATTTATGCTTATATCAAATCATAGCATTTTGGCTTTTCCACTCCCATTCCATGTTTCCTGCTTGTAATGTAGGTGCCTCAGTGTCTGAGTGAGGAAAGAAAAGAAAGCTCTCAGTACAGCCCAGGAAACTCTACCTAATACTCTGTGATATTCTGTGATAATATTCTTTTCTCTATATGAGAAAAGAATCTGAAAAAGAATGAATATGTGTATATATATATAACTGAATCACTTTACTGTACACCTGAAACTAACACAACATTGTAAATCAACTATAGTCCAATAAAATTAAGAAAAGAGATATCTAAGAAAACAATAAGTTATCCAAAAAAAAAAAGCTCTCAAATTTTCACATTCTCTGTGGGGCAGGGGGCAGGGAGGGAGGGGTCCTGATGGACATCTGCCCTCTCCATTTAGGAGACCTTATAGGGGAGGTAAAAAGAACATCCCAGGACTTTAGTCATCTCAAGTTCCCTGCAACCCCATCCTGAGGAGCCTCTGTTAGAGCTAGGATAAAATCCACAAGAGATTTGTTTCAAGATGTACTGACAGTTTCCTCGATTTATAGCCTAAGTCAACCGAGAACCGTCAGCTCTTTCAAGGTAAGTGTACAATGGGCAGATGTGAAGTGCCAGGATGCCTCATTGAAACGAAAGCTTTATTTCTTTGATTCAGGTCCATATGTGTAGCATGCTTCCTACGTTCTAGTCACTTTCATACAATTTTTTGAAGTCATTATTTGTATGCCAGATGTCAACTGCCTGGGTGTTCCTACAACCTTCAGCACACTGGGTTTACCTCGTCCTCTGAAGTGTAAATAAAATTGGTGTTGGCCTTGTAAACACCAGAGTTCCCTGGGGAGAGGAATGACAGCCTCTCTTTATAGAGGTGTGGGCAGGATGAAGGAGCCAACAAGAGTTGGTGAAACACACAGGAATAGCAACAGTGGGGAGCCATTACCACTGTGGGGGAGGGATGAAGGGAGAAGCAGTGTTACTGGAACCTGAAAGCCCTACATGTGGGATGGGGCCAGCCAGCCAGGAGTGGTGGTGGTAGGTGGGCTGAACCAGAGCCTAGCAGGGGGCCAGGTGTAAATAGCCCCCTGCTCTGTCTCCTCTCACTCTCTGAGCTCTTGCTGTCACCTCCCACTGGCTGCTTCTATCCAACAGGTAAGGGATACCTGGGGATTCAATCTGCAGACGTCATTACTCCCTAAATACAGAGTAGTGCAGTGAAGAGTGTAGAATGGGACTGGCACCAATTTAAACCCCACATATGGTAGAAAACCCATTTTTTTCTAGAAGTTCTTAGGGGGACTTATGCTAGAAGCAGGAAAGGAGAACCAGAAGAAACTAGGTTACACTGTCGTAAACAACCAACCTCTACATCTTACCATGGCTTGCCATTGTATCGTTGCCATGCTGGGCTCAGCTCCATGCGGTCTCTCAGGGGCCCAAGCTAATGGTGGTCTGCCTTCTGGTAGGTTCTAAGGGGAACAGGAAGTCTTCTCAGTGCTGAGGGTGAAAGAGAATTGTGCATGTGCTTTTCACTGCTTCATTGTGAAAATGACAAACATCACCTCCACTCACATTTTATTGGTCGTCTCTTATTTTCTAATATCCGTTCCCTACCCTACTTGAAATCCCTTCCTCTCTCCTTTGAATTTCTCCCTTCTTCCCATTAGCTTACTTGATGCTAAAATCCTGTTCATTTCTTATTAAAAAATTTAGTTATCTCTTTTTTACTTACCCCAGATGAACCTGGTTTGGTTTAGAATGTCTCATTTTATAAGCCAAACTATCTACTGAAATATGTTCTTATGAAAAGATAGACCAGTTCCCTTCTCAGAGGAGTTTGGAGGTCACCTTTTAAGGAGACTCATTTTTGTTCCTTCACATATAATTTCTCCATTAAAAAAAGACAACTGGGAGTCAGAGAAGGGGAGTGAATTACTTATGGTCATACAGGATTTGACTGATTTCCTATCTCTGCGTCCATAGCTCTTTTCTTTATCCTGTACCATCTCCCTCTCTGTATTCTCTTCTCGGAAAAACCACCCTTAGCTTAATACCATCTGCCTGGTTTTTCTTTAATCTTGTGCAGTTGAGCTCTGCATATAAAGAAGCCAACACCTTGGTGAGAATCATTAATTTTCAGAAGCTTTTATTTCAGTGACTCCAAAGATAATTGCTAAAAATAGGTGCACTCCCTGCAAGACACAGTTAAAATCAACTCATTTTGTGGTCAGGGTTCCCAGAGGAGTGAAGATGTGCAGAGAATGCAAGTGTTTCAGCAGCCGTGACAAATCTCCCCCACGGATGGGCGTGCAATAAATAATGATTTCTCAGAGGCAGCCTTTGGTGCTCGGAGTTGGGGTGGGTGGGTAGAGATGCCTGGAGATGTCCAGATAGGCTTAGGTTTTTCCAAAAGGGAACATGCATCATTTCCCATGAATGCAGGAGTGCAGTGGGAGAAAGGTTACTGGGGACCTCACACCTGGGATTATTGGTATTTCAGAACTCCACAAATATCTTCTCTGTGTGTGAAACCTTCAATTAATGTTGGTAATACTCTTTAGCATCTGAAGCAGACCTCCCTACTAGTGTAAGTTCAAGGTCTAAAAGAAATTAGCAGCCAGTCCTATTTTCTCTACTCCCCACTTTGGCCCAGCGAGGAAGGTAGTTCTGTTAACTCTTCTGCTTTTTAATAAGTGTGGGAGGAAGCTTATGCACTTGGGCAAGACTTGGCTTACCTCCTTGTTCTGTGTACCAGTGGGCATGCTTCCATCCTTCCTTCTCTCTGTCTGTGGTTTTCCTCCTTCCATCTCTCCCCCCACTCTCTTTCTCCTTCTCTATGTCTCTCCCTGCTTCTCTCTATCTCTCCTCCTTCCTCTTTTGGACCTGCCTTCTCCCAGGTACAACAAGGGTTGGCATGTCTTTCTCTCTCTTTTATTTTTTTTGTTTAATAACATTGGAATTTTATTATTAAACATATTTAAACATTTGACATTTCAGAAGAGTGATATTTAGTCTTCCTGTAGCTGCTGGATCGTTCTAGCAGTCACTGAAACACACGTTTCTCAGTTCTTCAAGTGAGAAAGGT